GGCCCGGGCTGAGCCCCCCCTTTCGCGCCCCCCTCCCGCCTCACTCACCCCTAGGGGAGGGGGACCCACCGCTCAACACTTGGGAGCCGGGATGAGTGAGGCGGGAGGGCGGCGCGAATGGGGGGACCCAACGTCTTTGACCCGAAGGGTTGGAGGCGAAAGGCCCTCAGCTCGTGATGCATCACACACCCCGCAGAAGGAGGAGGAGGTGGGAGCGCTGAGGACCCGACGTCTCTGACCCGGAGGGTGGGAGGTGAAGGGCATGCAAGGGGTGCACCCTCCATTGTGTGGCCCCCCTGTGTGCGTGTGAGGGAGCCAGAGCTGCTCCTGGGAGTGCATCCTCCATTGGGTGGTGCAAGTTTTCGGGGCATCCATTTTATTTGACATTAGATTTTGTTAGACCGAGTGGAGGAATTGCAGAAATAACAAATAACATGAGAAGATGACAAAGGAAAGGACAAAGGAATTAAGAAAATGGTAAAGAAGAGGAGAGGAAATGCGGTGGGTGCATTATGACATCTGACTATTAAAGTACACAGGCTGGTGCTTATCCCGGCAGATCCTGGGTGAGAGATAGGGTATACCCTGGACAGATTGTCAGTCTTTCACAGGGCTGACAGAGACAGAAGACCACACGTCGTTTAACTACAGCTTCTCTTGTTTTCTATTTATTTTTCAAAGTGAGGAGAGAGGAAGTGGTGGAGGGCAGGATGAAGCGTGAGACCTCTCGTGCATGGTAAATATAAATTTATCTAATGATGGTAACTATTTTATATAGTCATCAGTTCCCACTTCATTAGAATTTCTAAAAAAAATTATTTTGTCTGACATTTGTTTTTTTTTTGTTTTTTTCAAGAGTACAGATGAGAGGAGAAACTAAAATAAATAATGAATAGATGAGCAAACCGAAAGGAAATGAGAAGGTGGTAGGCCAGTGAGCTGTGCACAGAGCGTGGCTCAGACCGTCAGGGATATATCCCTGACTCCAGAGCACAACGGATACCTGCCATCTGTTTGTTTGTTGTTCCTTTGTTTTTACTTGTGTTTCTGTCAGGTCTGCTCGGCTTTCTCTTTTCTCTCTGTCTGTCTTTCTGGTTCTCTCTACAGTTTCCTCTCTCTATCCACTCGATTTTTGTGATTTGGCAATAAACAAATCGTATTGAACTGGTTGTGCCAGCAAAGCTAAATTTTTACTTGCTGCATAATTTTACAATAAAGAATTGAAATGAACCCTTCTGATTTGAATATGCATTATTGTAGGTTTACTGTATACGTATGTGCACACATATGTACATTGAGGAAATAAACTGAATGTCTTTAAAGTACACAGGCTGGCACTTATCCCAGTAGACCCTGGGCAAGAGGTAGGGTATACCCTGGACAGATCGCCAGTCTTTCACAGGGCTGACAGAGACAGAAGACCACTCACACTCACTCCTATGGGCAATTTAGAGTCATCAACCAACTTAAGCTGCATGTCTTTGGCCTGTGGGAGGAGGCCAAAGTACCCAGAGAGGACCCATGCAGACGCAGGGATAACATGCAAACTCTGCACAGAAAGGCCCCCAGGAACCTTCTTGCTGTGTGGGAAGGGGCTAACCACCACTACTGTGCCACCTCATTAGTTGACAATTGACAGAATGTTTTTGTAGTATTGTGCATACAAAAAAAGCTATTTGAAGACACCACTTAACTTTCTTTAGAAAATAATTAATTGTACTAACTAATACATAAATGTAATTATACTTTTCCTAAAATCAAAATGCAAACACTGACAGACCGATCAATTAATGAAATACACGCTATAACTGTAGTAACAGCCAAAGTATAACTTACAGCTGAATCTCACCAAATGCCAAAGACAGTTATATATTTTCATACATCCAGTCATGTTTAAATGAGTCATTTGCAAATAGTAACCCCCTCCCCCCTCCTCAAATTTTGCACCTTAGTACTGATATTCAAACGCATGCATAACAATGAGTGACAATGCTGTTAGCACACAGCAGGTCTGTGAAGGTTTCTGATGGAGTAAGAAGACAGAGCAGCAGCGGTGACGCTGTTGTGTGATACAAAGATATAATGTTGGAGTGTGTGTGCTGTGACTGTAGTTCACTGGTGGGTGTAAAAAGACCGGGTCTCGTTGTGTTACTCAGGCTGCACTACAGCGTCTATTCACGGGCGCGATCCCACTACTGAGCGGCACGGGGGCTTTGACCTGCTCCGTTTCCGACCTGGACCGGTGCACCCCTCCTTAGACGACCTGCTGGTCCCGGGCTCCCCCAGGAGCACCATATCGATACCGAACTTAGTGCGGACACCCGATCAGCGTAGCCCGCTGCAGCTCAGAGCTCCTGAGCTCAAACGATCCTCCAGCCTCAGCCTCCCGGTAACTTGGATTACAGGCGCGCGCCACCGCACCCGGCGATGAACGTGTCCGTTCACCAGGCTTTAGACTCTGGAAAAATCACATGCAATTACAAACACACCTTTCATCTAGACATACTTTTATTAGGAGATGGAAATCGCCTCAAGGCGTTTTACAAACAAACACATTTATTAGCACTTTTATTCTATTTCTGAATCTGTGTGTATGCAGATGTGTGTTTGTGGATCTGTTCATGTTTGGTTGCTTAAATGTATCTGCCCAATCCATGCCACAGCTTCACCGGCTCCTGTGGAGTGTTGACCATGTCCATCCAGTGATGGAGCTGAGGGCCATTGGTGTACATGAAGGGCCCTAACACCAACACTCCCAGTAGGACTGGAGGCTCTGGGAGAAAGATATATGAATGTGACTGTATTAGGGCAATATTAGTGTCCTGCCCCCCCCCCTTGAAGGTGAAGTTAATTTTATTTTCTATATAGCGGCAGATCACAACACAGAAAAAGGCATGATGAAGTTGTACCAAAGTCAGTGGCATTAACCACCAAGCTATGGATTTCAGCCATTTCAGCATTTTCAGGGCAATTCTTCAGCAATCAGCATCCACACACATTTTCTTCGGGAAATGCATTTGTCTCGTTATTACTCTGGGATCTTCCACCCTTTTTTGGCACTTAATAAGTCTAGCATACTTTCAGCTATATAGGCAAACTTCATACTTTTTAAAATATTTAGCTTTATTCTCAAAATTTAGCCCCAGTCAAATGGATGGGAAAATTCTACTTCAGCATACTTCCAGCTATCAAAATTTTCAGCTCCTTAAGGAAATGTTCAGCCCTTCATGGACATTCATGCTTCTATTCTGAATTTTTCTAAAACTTCATACTTTTGAATTATTTAGCTTTATTCTGAAAATTTTGCCCCATTCAAATGAATGGGAATATTCTACTTCAGCATAGTTTCAGCTATCAAAATGTTCAGCTCCTCTAGGACTTTCATGGTTCTATTCAGAATATTTGTTAACTTTATACTTTTGAAATATTTAGCTTTATTTTGAAAATTTTGCCCCATTCAAAAAAATGGGAAAATTCTACTTCAGCATAATTTCAGTTATCAAAATGTTCAGCTCTTCAAGGACAGTCATTTCTAAACTTCATACTTTTGAAATATTTAGCTTTATTTTGACAATCTTGCCCCATTCAAATGAATAGGAAACTTCTACTTTAGCATAATTTCAGTTAGCAAAATGTTCAGCTCTTCAAGGACATTCATGCTTCTCTTAAGAATTTTTCTAAACTTCATACTTTTATAATATTTAGCTTTATTTTGACAATCTTGCCCCATTCAAATGAATTGGAAACTTCTACTTTAGCATAATTTCAGTTAGCAAAATGTTCAGCTCTTCAAGGACATTCATGCTTCTCTTAAGAATTTTTCTAAACTTCATACTTTTATAATATTTAGCTTTATTCTGAAAAATCCTGCCCCATTCAAATGCATGGGGATTTCTACACTCAGCATACTTTCAGCTATTTCAGGTACCAAAATGTTTAGGTCTTCAAGGACATTCTTCTATTCAGAATTTTTCTAAACTTCATGCCTTTGTAATATTTAGCTTTATTTTGAAAAATTTGTCCCATTCAAATGAATGGGAATATTCAAATTCAGCATACATTCAGCTATTTCAGGTATCAAAATGTTCAGCTCTTCAAGGATATTCATGCTTCTATTCAGAATTTTTCAAAACATCACACTTTTAATTAAAAATATTTAGCTTTATTCTGAAAAGTTTGCCCCTTTCAAATAAATGGGGAAATTCTACTTAAGCATACTTTCAGGTATTTCAGGTATCAAAATGTTCAAGTCTCCCAGGACGTTCATGCTTCGACTCAGAATTTTTATACACTTCACACTTCTGAAATATTTAGCTTTATTTTGAAAATTCCCCCCATTCAAATTAATGGGAAAATTGAACTTCAGCATACTTTCAGGTAGATATGCCTTTCAGGTGTCAAAATGTTCAGCATTTTCAGGGCGATCCTTCAGTACACTGCATCCACACGCATTTTCGGCAGGAAATGCATTTCTCTAGTTTCCATTTTACAAACCGTTTCTCATTAAAAATGTATTTTAAAACAGGAAATTTCCTCTGCCACTTGCAGTGCTTTGGAATGTTTGGTCAGATTTTCAAGAGTAAGGCAGTTCACTTTTTGGCCTCTAGATGACCAACAACACTCACTTGCCTGCAGACAACATCTGCAGTAAGTGTAGATAGCTTTAAGCTAACGCTAGCTATCATAACACTTTTAACCTCAGTTTTGGGCTCTGATCACTCATTGGTTTGCTAGCTTCAGTGTCCAAACATGCAGAAATATGAAAAGCTTGAAAAGATCGGAGAGGGTAAGTTTCAGAACCATATTATAAAGTTATTTATTTATTAGCTAACCTATCATCCGTGTAGCTGCAGGGCCAGCTAACGTTAGCTTGATTGTAAACTTCGTGCCTGCGTTAACTAGCTAATTCACTAGTTAATTGTATGCAAAGCAGTTTGTATAGCATTTGCGTATACTAGCGTTGGATAGTCCTATGTCCTCATCTCTAATTTTTGCCTGCCACCAGTTACAATATTAACGCTAGCTAGCGTTAGATTGCTAGGCTACGTTAAAGACGACACCCATTCATTAGTACGATAACGTTAACTACTGTGATTTGACTTGCCTGCTCTGTAGGTACTTATGGAACAGTTTTTAAGGCTAAAAACAGAGAAACCCACGAAATCGTGGCTTTGAAAAGGGTCAGACTTGACGACGACGACGAGGTATGTTTTCAAAATACAGTAATTTTCATTTTTGTCCATGCTAGGAAATGCTAATGCTAATCAGTGGCAGTTATTTTCAGGGGGTGCCCAGTTCTGCTCTGAGAGAAATTTGTCTTCTGAAGGAGCTGAAGCATAAAAACATTGTCAGGTCGGTTTCCTGCCCAAATTGAACTTCAATGAGAATGACACGTAGTGCTGACTGTTCAAATAGGAGTTTGCATCTAACCCAGATTTCACCAAACATTAACTTTAATTAATTAGCTGTTCGTTTTCCTTCAGACTACACGATGTTTTGCACAGTGACAAGAAGTTAACCTTGGTTTTTGAATACTGTGATCAGGTGAGACAGCATCATCTTAAGCCTACAGTATGTTGTTAGTGTGTACCTACTAAGGTTAATGTGTTTTTCCTGTCAACTGCAGGATTTGAAGAAGTATTTTGACAGCTGCAATGGGGATCTAGATCCTGAAACTGTGAAGGTCAGATAATGTACAGTGTAATCCACAAAGACAATTTAACCAAGGACAGCATGTCTGCTTAAAGGCATACTGTACAGATGGCTTAGTTTTTGACCTCAGTATATCACTTAAATCTTTTGAAAAATAGAATTAACACTTAAACCTTGTTGTGCCTGTATGTTTTGTTTTCCTCTGCAGTCATTCATGTACCAGCTGCTGAAAGGCCTTGCTTTCTGTCACAGCCGAAATGTTCTTCATAGAGATTTGAAGCCACAGAATCTCCTCATCAACAGAGTGAGTGTGAATGTGCATTTGGCTAGCAGTATTTGTCACTTTATGAACAAATATTTTGGCTCTGTCAGTGTTCTGGTTCCATTATCCAATTAAAGTCCTGACTCATTACTAACATTTTGTGAAAATGTATTGGTGAGCCTGATGCACTAGAGAAGCTATAGTTTATTTTTCTGTGTTTATATCCTCTGGACAGATTTGATAACTTGTCTCTCTGTTTATAGAATGGGGAGTTGAAGCTGGCTGACTTCGGATTGGCTCCCGCCTTTTGCATTCCTGTGAGGGGTTTTTTTTTTAGGTTGTACATCATTAAGGCACTCTGCCAAATGTCCTTTCAGCTGCTAGAGAGTCAAGTGAGATGCAAAAAGAACTCCTGAAGCTACAACGTGAACTTCGGATACTTGTGGCAAACTGTGCAAAAGGCATTCCCCAGCCCAAAACTAGCATTACCTGACTAATGAGTCTCTACGGCAGCGTCGCAACATGTCAAGTGACAAGGTTGACAGTTTCGCAATTTATGAAACCTAATTTAAACGTATACTATGGCAAACATTGTTTGTAGAAGATGTACGTATGTACTTAATATTATTTAGTGTACAGATAAGGATGGAAGTAGGGTTGCAGAAGTATCCCCGTTTCATGGTATACCATGGTATGAAAATTGATGGTTGTCATAGCGGGTTCATTTACTTATTACCAGAAGCCTATACACCCAATGCGTGCACACCGTTCCTCCTCAACTACCTGTCAGACTCCGGAATGGACACCACATGTACACATGCAGCAGACAAATGGCAGAGAGGAGACGGCTGATATCACCAAACGCCATCCACAAATAAAGAAATTAAAAAGAGCAGCGCAGGATTACACCTTCGAGAACACCATCCTTCCATCCAGATCACATTATGTGTCCCATTTCTAACTTTAATCCCAAACAATAAAACGTGACTATATAACTAGGGTCATAAAATGCACTATCGAAATAATTTTCCACGGTCTGTTCATTCGCTAATCTCTGTGGAGTCACACTGATCCCAATCTGACCCCAGAAATACACAGTCAAACCTTTCCGGCTCCCATGTGAGTCTGTGAGTGATAGGATCAGTCTGGCTATGCTGTTGCACACTTACTACCCCCGAAAAACGACCTTGGGGTCTCAATGGAGTGATGCCGAATTGTCGCCTACATTGACACTGGACCCACTTTCCGACGTGTTGGTATACCTCCCCATTCATTTTTCCCCAAAATTATGGTACTTTCCCTAGCTAAAATTATTGCACACTTACTAAAATTAGCAACTCTTTTGATAATGATTTAGAGCATTGATGGATTTCTAACTATCGTCAGAAGTTTAACCAACCAATAATAATCAGCAGTTTAATCTCTAATGAGAATAATCAATAGTTGCAGTTGGATATTAAATAGTTCAAAAGAGCTCCACCTCAACAATCAACAGTCACATCAGTGCATGAGTGATGGGCTGTTAATACAATCATATAATATATAATGGTATATACAGTATAACATTGTTCTGCATTGAGTATCCTACTCCTGTTTTTAAAACCTTACCTTTAATACCTAGTTTTTCAATGCAGGACTTGTAGAGTCGGCTACTTGTACAGTGTGCTATTAGTACTTTTACTTTAGTAAAGGATGTGAATACTTCCTCTTCTGCTGGTGCTAGCATGCAAACTAACATGCTTTAGTTACAGTATATAACATGTTACAGTTGAATTTTATTTTTTATCATGTTTAGAATTCTGTTTATTCTTTAGGGACAGTTGCATTAAAAAGACCCTTTTATTTTCATTTGTTTGAGGGTCATTGTGGCTGATAATAATAGTGTAATAATGTGAAATCGTAATATTTTCTGAGACGTTATCATGCCGTGAAAATCTCATACCATTGCAACCCTATTTCTGTCAAGCACTTGACACTTGACAGAGAAGCAGCTTGTTAAATTGTCAGAAAGGTGTAATGGAAACCAGATGCATATGTGAGCATGACAATGCTGCCAAATCAATTTCCTCAGTACAGACTACAATCAACCTCTGAGAACAGGCATTATGCTGAAAAAAACTGAAGTTAATTTTAGTAATGACTGTGATAATTTATGTAATTAGTCTAATTATTACACTGTGGTTTGTATGTAGGTGGTGACCTTGTGGTACCGGCCTCCAGATGTGCTGTTTGGTGCTAAACTTTATTCTACCTCAATTGACATGTGGTCTGCTGGATGCATTTTTGCAGGTTTGTTTATGATTGTTGGCAGACATGAGGATATGTAAGTCAGTCTTCTTTACTTTCTTTTTTCTACTATGTAGTTGGCCTAGGATAGAAGTCAAACTAATAAAAATAATTTATATGCCACCCACAGACATGCAGGTTAGGTTGGTGATTTTAAATTGGAACCAGAACAACTTATGGGTCGACCCTTTGTCATTCCTGTGATAGACAGGTGATCTGTCCATCTAATGGATGGATAGAAGAATAGGGCAGTTTCTAATAAATCTTAGTATCTAGCAAATTGTGTGGAAGTGCCAAAGTGGACATGTTTGAGTACTCTAGAGAACAACATATATCATGCAGTCAGAATTCAAAATTACCTATACAGTCTGTGGGGGCTAAAATAAATTTGGAGCAACTTTTCAGAAGATGTGAACTTTTTGGAATGTTGTTTCTACATTTCCATGTTTTATGTTGGATTGGATTTTTTTTTTGTTTGTTTATGTGGAAAAATGTGTTTCTGCAGGTTGTTTTGACAGAATAAAACCAAACCAAATATATTTTGACCATATTTTGCTTTGATTTCATGTCCCATTCAGAGCTAGCTAATGCTGGAAGGCCTTTATTTCCTGGGAACGATGTGGACGACCAGTTGAAAAGAATCTTCAGATATCTTTTTCTTTGTTAACATCACATGGGTACCGACAAAAAATGAGTTCCCTGCTTATGTGACACTGAGAACGTAGATGTTTGTTCAGGCTGAATTGTTGAGCTACTGTGTGGTCTGTGATTTATGCATATCAAGGCCTAATGGGTTGGACATATGTCTCTGTTGCACAAAGTTTTTCTTTAACCACTGGCTACATTATTAGGGACACCAACTGAAGAACAGTGGCAGACAATGACGAAACTCCCCGATTATAAGGTAGGCTATTGATGTCTTCATTTTGTAAAGCCAACAGTGGAAAGAGCTTCCATCGTTTTGCTGAATTCTTGGACTGAAATGTTACTTAACACTCTCCTTGTTCACTTGCAGCCATATCCCATGTATCCAGCCACCACCTCACTGGTGAACGTGGTCCCCAAACTAAGTAGCACAGGACGGGACCTACTCCAGGTATTTATTACTGTCAACTTGCCTGCCATTAAATGTTTCAGTAAAGTTGGTCTGTTGCTGCTAGGGATAGATCAGGACCACTTTTTTCAGACCAAGTACCACTACTGATACAGAGTACTGATACAAGTACTTAATAATAATGCGGAGTTACTATAAAAAAAAACTTTGGAGACAGTTTTTATTTTGATGAGATTTACCTTCTGATTGTGTTTAAATAAAATTTAACAGGAGGCTGTGCAAATTTGAAAACTGTGATAAACACAGCACTGTAGCCTGCTACTGCAATATGCTGCTTTTAGCCTTTGTAGGTGTGTGACCCTCTGTTAGGATGAACTTCATTCAGAATGGCAAGTTTGGGAGGGCATAATATCACAGTCGTCAGATTAAACGTTTAATTTAACAAGGGTCCACGTTCTTTCTTTAAACTGGCTGCTGTCTGTATCTTCATCCTGTGTCCTCTCTGGTGGACACATACATGCACTACTGTAGAGGAACTGCTTGGCCTCAGGCGCAAAGTCATCTTCATACGCAGAGTATGAGGATGCCAGTATGCATGCAGGAAATGTTATTGCCGCTTGCTTCTAAAATGTTTCCTCTGTCCTCACCCAGAACCTGTTGAAATGTAATCCTGTCCAGAGGATCTCTGCAGAGGAAGCCTTGCAGCACCCTTACTTTGCTGATTTCTGCCCTCCCTAAATGTTAAATTGCTTTTTGCTGAACCTTAGCCACCAGAATCAATCATCCTTCACTCTGTTGGCTCATTAGGACAGTTCCCAACAAGGCAAATCAAATAATTCTCAAACACTCCCCCTGCTGTTAATTTTGTTGTGCGTGTGGAACAAAGTTCTGCTGGTTCTGAAACATTTTAGGTTGTTTTAAGTTATGGGCCATTTTAATTTGGTACATACAGTATATGCTTGGCAGTGAATTAGCACTAATGTGGGACTGTACATTAAACAAATTTTACACCTATGGAATTGTTGTTTAAATTAAAGTTTTAATTAGTTAAAAAGTTTAAATTAGTTCAACTTGTTCATAATATGTGAGGAAAAAAGGCCTTTTGAATCTGTTGTGTCTGAAGCTAATATTCATCAGTTACCCCACAGCCTCTCTAAAAGTGGGTTCTGTTCCATGTGCAATGTGCTGTAAATTTGGTTACTTAAGAGTTTTAGTGGGACAGTTCCAGTCCAAAGCTGGACTGTGTAATGGAGACACACTTTCAAAATTAACTCAAATATATCCCCCCCCCTCCCACTGACTATTACAAAATTTTATAACGGCATGGGAAGCAAATTTCTAATTTTATTTTTTCTCAGGCTTTTTATTTCCAATTTTGTATTTGTCTTTTGTGCACTTTGTACCAGACTTTTATTTTAAATCATTTAGTTATCAATATTATTACATTTGTTGAACACTGACAAGCCAGGATTATGACTGGCATTCATTAAATAGGCCAATATATATATATTTTATGTTCATGACTAGTGGACCAGGCATGACACATTGCTTTAAAAAAACCTTATTATACTGTCTTTTAGATTTTTCAAGATGCTTTTGTAGCAGTTAAGTTCGAGACCCAAAAAGTCTAGATACTTCAGAGATGATCTGTATTTTCATATGATTGTTTTGCACCATTAGCTGTTTCCATTTTGGTTACTTATTGTACTAACATGGTCAACAGCTCAGTGTTATTTTACTCCACATTGTTTCAGTGCTATGTATTCCATAAAAGCTGACCAGTTGTGTATGAAGTAGCTGTCTTTATAGAGAATGGATTTATTTTCATTTATCTTAGGCAAAACAAGCATGCATGTATTTATTAATGATGGAATGTCTGCTCATTTTGTGCATTCATTTAAATGTAGCACAACTTTTGGTACAGAAAGTCAGATTTTGGACAATTTAAACAATGCTCAGATCTAAAGTTGATTTAAAATGTGTGAAGTGTGTGTGTATTAAGTTATAATGAGGGGAAAAAGCATTTGTTCTCAGTATTCCATTATCTTGTGATGAAAGGACATTTCAGACAAACTACTGTCAATTTACTTTATACAGCTTAAATTTGTTTTAACGAGTGGATTATTGCATTTTGCTAGTATATTTGCTTTTGTTGGTAGGACTTGGGATAAATGTTGATTCATCTTGTGTATAATTCAGCCAATAAGAAACTCAGTATTCAGTAAAGTTGACATAAATATGTGTTTGCTTCTCTTTAAAAAGGATTTACAGCCTCTTTTCAATATACTGAAAATAGACCTCTTAATAAAAAGGCATCGTTTTTTTTGTAAATGAACAAGTTTTGTTTCTGTCAAAGATAAAAAAATTTTTTTTTTACTTGTCAGCCTATGTTTTACCTAGTGCACACCTTAATGGGAAGGTGTATAGGAAAATGAAACGCACAACTTTCCAATCAGATGTGCATTGCATTAACGCATTGCCATTTTTTCTAGTGCTACTCTACTGGTGGTCTCAAACTCTACAAGGCACCTTTTAAGTAAAATATCTGAACACTTTACCGCTGAGAACAGCTGCCAAATGACTAATCCGCTGACTACTGGTTCCATGTGTCATGAACAGACTTTTAATCTAGACCAATAGCTCCGGTGTACCTGACCTCACCCTCTGACTTGCAGTTGTCATTCAGCTTCAGTCTCCACCAAAGCCCATCAGGTTTGATTAACCTGGGTGCCATCTTTATACTGGTACAAAGTTTCGCTTATCAGTGAACTGGCCACAGACAGTTCAATTTCAGACTGAGTACGATACACATTATTAAGTGTTGATTCACTATTTAATGTACAGTTAAGTTTAAAATCACATATCTACAAAAAATATGCACATAGAGCATGTAGAGCCAGATGAAGCAAGTCCAGTTCCCCATGTGTGAGAACCAGCCACATTGTTTTTTGAATCCTTATAAACTGATAAAAGTTCTTGCCGTTTTCCGCATCTGTATAAAACCTTCATTTGTTAAGTACTGCACAATCCCAAGTCTGGTTTGAGAACAATTTTTCTCTTATAAAGATCCAAGGCATTGTACCATAGGATGCGGAGAACACCATTTTGATTCATCTGACTCCAGAAATACATTCTGGACACTACAAAATGAAAAGCATAGCTAATGTTACCTTAAGAGAAACAGAGATGATAGGAATACACAATGGCCAGGCAAGGAAGAAACTGGGTGCTGTACATTACAGTATTACCTGTAAAAATAAAATGGTTAGGTGACAAATATACAGAATAATGCCTTCTACATGGTTTTAACTTGCAGTTGCAGTAAATGTCAAGTATGTACTAATTAATGAGCACAAATATTTCTACCAGTTCAGATACACTCTGCTGTTCTTTCACTGGTAGTAAGGCAGGGAGTGGGGTGGGGAGTAAAGACCTGGGACATTTTCACAAATCCTACACATCTCCAGTCTCCAGGAAGTGGTGGGTCTTGGTTAAGCTTTTAAAAATGACAACCTGGCACGTACACTTAAAATTATCATGGCATCTTCAGAATAGCAAATAGCATTTGTGTCTTGTTATTATACATTTGCCAAATTGTACATCTGTGTTGCGGTAGGCAGTTGTTGAATCTACATCAGTTCCAGCTGTTGAATATAAATCGAAAATGGGAAATCATTTTTATGTGAATTTGATAATGTAGTATCTGATTCAGTGCATTTATTGCTCACAGTGCCACTGCTTCACCTTTTTCCTGAACGGTAAGATTTCCACTTGGTTGAAGTCTGCACGATGTGGTCGTGCTCTTACTACTAACGCTGGAGCAGTGGGCACGCCATGTGTAACAGTGTGTAAAGTTACAATTTGAGTCATAAGAGGTAGTCACAACCACAGATGTCCCGTCATTGGCTTTCAATGGCTGATCTCCAAGGGTTTGTGCTTCACATGAACAGTCATCTAATACACAGACAAAGTAATAAAGCTACAGTGTAACAAACACCACTGACTTGATTGGTATTATACTTGAAAGTTACACATAAAAAAAAAAATGACTTACTGAATTTTCAGTAAATGAGTTATACTGAAGGATATGTAAATAAGTGTCCAAGTCCATAGCTGTAGTGTCAAAAATTTAAATAGCACAGTGAACATTAACAAGAGAAAAAGACTGACACGAAGATAAGACGCAAAGTTTTGTATGCGAGTAAGATGGATAAATATAGAGTTTATTATACTTGATCATTTATACATCACAAACTGTTATTTGTGATTTATTACATGTTCTGGAATAATAATTATAGGATACAGTGGTAAAATTGTACAATGCATTTCTGTTATAAATCAACTGAAGTGAATGGGGCTGATGTGCATGGTGGTTTTGATGTTTTGAGGCAACCGTTTCTTGTAAATAATCCAGCTTGTAAGTTTATCCAGCTGTCTGTCATATAGTAATCACCAGAAACTCAAAGACACAGTTCACTCAGCTAAAAAGTCCAAATTCCCTCTGGTGTAAGAACAGATGAAGAAACGCTTTTATCTATAGTCAACAAATGTTTCACGTGAGCGATAGAGAATTTCTTCATGGCATTTGAACGTGGGTATTTACAAATTTCAGTCAAGTGTAGGAATGTCCCTAACAAGCTTTTTAGACTATGTTCAATAGAGAATAGATTACTATCACAGAGGATCGTGCTGATGAACACATTTAAGATCCAATAATGGGGGGAAATGAATTATTAAAATGCCTAGCCCAGCCTAGCCTGATTATTTCTGTTCTGATGAATTCAATAGCAACAAAGGCCAACTTTTACAACGAGCTGACTGATAGCAGCAGCCGCTTGTTAAGTCTGGTGTAACATTCCTCTTCTGGTGTTGTGTCCCAGGTCTAAACTTCGGTTTGTTCTCCTCCTCTCCATATGAAACTGTGTTCTGTTCCACAATGTTTCAATAGATCTGAATCAAAAGTCACGGGTCAGCTGTCATTTTACCACTTTCCTTGCGATGGGAAGGAGAAAAGGAAATTGCTACAGTTGATTAGATAAGTCACAGTATTAAAAATAAAGCTTCTAAAAGTTTGCACGAAGTTAACATAAACAGTGCGTGGGCAAATTTTACACTGATGAAAATACCAGTAAAAGCTGGGAGCTATTAAAAACAAGTTTATATATAAGAACAAATGTACAGTGCCTTGCGAAAGTATTCGGCCCCCTTGAACTTTGCGACCTTTTGCCACATTTCAGGCTTCAAACATAAAGATATAAAACTGTAATTTTTTGTGAAGAATCAACAACAAGTGGGACACAACCATGAAGTGGAACGAAATTTATTGGATATTTCAAACGTTTTTAACAAATAAAAAACTGAAAAATTGGCCGTGCAAAATTATTCAGCCCCTTTACTTTCAGTGCAGCAAACTCTCTCCAGAAGTTCAGTGAGGATCTCTGAATGATCCAATGTTGACCTAAATGACTAATGATGATAAATAGAATCCACCTGTGTGGAATCAAGTCTCCATATAAATGCACCTGCACTGTGATAGTCTCAGAGCTCCGTTTAAAGCGCAGAGAGCATCATGAAGAACAAAGAACACACCAGGCAGGTCCGAGATACTGTTGTGGAGAAGTTCAAAGCCGGATTTGGATACAAAAAGATTTCCCAAGCTTTAAACATCCCAAGGAGCACTGTGCAAGCAATAATATTGAAATGGAAGGAGTATCAGACCACTGCAAATCCACCAAGACCTGGCCGTCCCTCTAAACCTTCAGCTCATACAAGGAGAAGACTGATCAGAGATGCAGCCAAGAGGCCCATGATCACGCTGGATGAACTGCAGAGATCTACAGCTGAGGTGGGAGACTCTGTCCATAGGACAACAATCAGTCGTATACTGCACAAAGCTGGCCTTTATGGAAGAGTGGCAAGAAGAAAGCCATTTCTTAAAGATATCCATAAAAAGTGTCGTTTAAAGTTTGCCACAAGCCACCTGGGAGACACACCAAACGTGGAAGAAGGTGCTCTGGTCAGATACACACTCTTGTGTGTTACAGCCTGCTCAGTGTTTTATAACTAAGGTGTCACTTTATTTTTAAGCTCATTTAATAAGACAAGTTGAACCAGAACAGACTCATTTGGAGCAGCATAGAAACACATACAGTACACACATGGATCACTGTGTAGAGCTATGGGCAGCTTCTGCACAACTTCTATAATTAATTAAAGTCCCACTCCAGAAACATTTTCATTTTTATATTTGTATATAAAAATACTTTACTATAAACAATATGCAGTCTAACACAGCTTTTCCTCAAAAAAATTTCAGTGGGCCTCTGTAATAGGAATGAACATTGCCCCTCATTGTGCATTCCAGGATCTATGAATGTTGCCGTCATCCCTTATGTGGATTTGAATAATTTTGCACGCCCAATTTTTCAGTTTTTTATTTGTTAAAAAAGTTTGAAATATCCAATAAATTTCGTTCCACTTCATGATTGTGTCCCACTTGTTGTTGATTCTTCACAAAAAATTACAGTTTTATATCTTTATGTTTGAAGCCTGAAATGTGGCAAAAGGTCGCAAAGTTCAAGGGGGCCGAATACTTTCGCAAGGCACTGTACCACAACATGACAAAGTTTGGTTATTATGCCACCAACACTGACTACACTATTTGAATCTTACGAATAAAGTCAGTGATGGCTTGCCAAGTTAAAAAGAAGAAGAAGAAGATGTTAGTGTGTAGAGGGTAACAGGCTGCGCCATTTGGGTCTGACCTGGTGTTGTATCGATATTTCTTCCCTGTCACGACGTGTTTCCCCGTTAAAACTGTGTTTTGAGTAGCGCCCCCATCTGTGGTTATGACTAGGATAAGGCTAGGGTTCAGCTTTGGGGAAACACATCTTGACGGGGCACAGATCTCGAAACACCAGAAACAGAACTTTACATCACCACTTAGCAAGCGGATTTTGTGACAGTCAGCATGGCCACACTATCTCAGAAAATGTGAAACACTGAAAAATGAAATCAGTTATATAAAGACATGTAGGTACAATCAACAGCCTTTTTATTTGCCTTCCAGGTTCCTTTTTTAAAACCCGTTCTATGTGTAAAAATTGCCTGGAGTCTCAGTAGCTTCTGTCATCCCAGGATCCACATGGAACAAAACCTGCATATATAAAAATAATAAAGTTCGTCTTTTGTTTTTAAATCGAATAAGCACAGTTATCTAATTCAAAGCCTCATAGTGGCAGAAGGCAACATTAAACACTAATCAAGTGTTTTGATTCAGGTATGAGCGGCTCTTTTCACCAACAACTAGCTCACTGAACTCAAGCACATTTCCAAAAAGGTTCTTCTGTTCCAACTGGTGACAGGTATAAGGTCACTCAGTATAACATGGGTTAGATACTGGGGATGCAACACTGATAAACTGCTACACATACAAATCCACTTTTTTTTATTTTTTTTTTTACTTTTGCTTGTTATACAACAAAAACAGCACAACAGTACTGCGTAGGTCAGTGTAACACAGGCCAGGATCACTTTTTGGACACAATTCTATCTTCACTGATTGTATACTATAATGACTGAATAAGAAAAACAAATTTACAAAGTGAAATGTACATAAATTAACAGTGATGCCTTGACATGGCAGTTAAACCTGAGTTCTGTTTTGGAAGTGTTTTTTTTTTTTGTCTGATGATAGTATTCTATTTCTATTCAGGCATTGATAAACTCTATTATGTGTTTCTGAGTTATACACTCAACCTTTTTTTTCTGTTGAATAATTTCACAGTTTGCTGTCAAGTCCCTATATGCGTCACCCCAACCTTAACCCTCTAATTTATGTTGTCAACAAGCAAACTCCTCAAAGTTGCCTAGAGTCGGGTGACGAGGTAACATGTTCGGCGTGAATCCGAGACTGTCCGAGTGACTCCGGAGGGTGTCACAGGTGCTCTGCAAAAAAGAGAGGAGGGAAGGAGGGAAGCCGAGTTCAAACGGGGTTAAGGGAAGGGCCATGATGGAGGAAAGAAATGAGCCACAGGTACAATGAGAGTGACCAGGGCAATCACAGAGGAATGGGGAGAATTTTAAATAATTAATAAATCAAACATGGTGAGGAGAAATTGAGTGAAATCAGGTTGATGGTTATTAATGCATCAGACACAAGGACAGGATATGTGATGATGACGATGAATGACAGAAACATATGGACAATGATGATGTAATGAATACAACAAATTTGGAGGTTCCAAGACCAGCCACATCACACATATTTGACAGGTAGTGAGACAAAAGTTTTAAGGAAATCAGGGGAAGGTGGGGAAAAATGAGTGAAAGGAGGGAGAGGAGAAAGAAAACAGCACATTTTTAGTCCTGTTCTTACACTGGCATGCTAAATTCTTAAAGATGTTGAACCGGAAACGTCCACATATGTCTGTATTTCCCTGTTTACTCAAATGTTCTTGGTGAATAAATAACTGCTGGTGTCACCACTGGCAAAAACAACTATCTATCCAGACAGACAAAGAACCATTTATATTTTGTGCAAACTGACTGCATGCAGGCCTGTGATAACATCACAAAGTAATGCATCTAGTGATGTTATCTGGCACAAGCCTCATACGCCTCTAAATGGACCTCTGTGTTGCAGGGAAACACGTAGATCTCATGTGGTTCAGCTTTTTGTACAGCTCAATAAATATCTGTTTTCACAGGAGTACTGCGCTTTATCCTATGGGGGGAAAAAAATCATTATTTAGTAGAAGGAGCAAGTTTTGCGTAGTACAGAGTCAAATCATTAGGCACTTAGAGAATCCAACCAACTCACGTCTTCTGTTAGGTCGATAAATACAGAAACGCACCAAACTCACTAACCTGTCTTGACATGGCCATAGACATTAAAACTGGAGTTTGAATAATCACCCTTTTTGTTGCCTGTCTACCAAATCCAACCATATCATTTGTAGCCACTGATAAAATGATGTATGAGATGGTCTCAAGCATGTACGAAAAAGAGGGACAGTGTGGGGGGGGCAATCTATTATCAGTGGGGGTGTGCTACCTGGGGGCATGATTAGGCGTGACACCAGGGCTGGTTGGGTTCTCTGGAAACTCCTGGAATAGACATGATGAAAAGAAAGATGGGTGAGGGTGACTGAAATGAAAATCAAACACAATGCAAATGATACAAGCTCAACTTGTGAGGGAGGACTGCAAGAGAGTGTTTTCCTTAGGTATATCATGTTCTGAAGAAGTTGGTTTTTCAAAATAAGATTTGTTTTTTCTTAATCAGCAGGGAAAACACAGGGCATTTGTGTGTTTGACAATCACTGAAGAGAATGAAAGTCAAATTGAAAACTGTCTAATTAACAGCATTACTTCATTTTCAGGTTGTTTGAGTGGAAATGTGACAATGGACTAGTTGAAAGACGGTTATTGAATATGAGAGAAAGCAAGTAAAAAGGATGGTTTATAGTAAGCAGGTGAACATATGATGTGACTGGTGCAGAATACAGTAAATATCAGACTATATAAGGCTCCAAAAAGAGCATGACATACTATAAAACTCAGCCCATTCAAACAATGTTTCTTCTATTGCCACTTCAGTTTTATTTTAAAAAAAGCTATTTAAAGTCATCTCTGCGGCTGTCTTAAATGAACATAAATCCACTTACAAATTTATTTATTTTCCTCCACAGCAACTATTTAACCAAATACTGAACTTGAGGCAACTGAGCATGCAAGAACATGCCCCTCATGCAGACACAAACCCAGAACTTTTTCACTGATTTGACAAGAAATCTATTTTGCATGCTGTCTTTTTGCTCAATATGAAAAAGTCTTGGACTTGTGTGACACACAATAAAAGAAATCAAGCTTACATGTCCAGTATTCTACCAAGATGGCTAGATGCTAACTGCTAGATGCTCAGCACTGTATGGTATACTCGGGGACAAAAAGAAATGTCTGCCAAAAACCTGCATAAATCCTTTTGTTTTAGCTTTTCTTACTGCTTTTGCCCTGACAGCGATAGATTAGTGGCTTTTACCTGTCGGTTGGACTCAAAACAGTGGCCCCCATGAAAAAGAGTACAGTTTTATACAGAGTACATTTTGAAACTAGTTCTATCAGCATTGAGAGGATATAAAGGTTAGCTACTGTATATCAAAATTTTGCTATGTATTATCTCATGCATTTTGTAGTTGGTTAAACTGGCAGTTATTACTGTACTTTCCTGTATTCAGAGGTGGAAAGTAAGTAATTTACTCAAGTACTGTACTTAAGTACAGTGTTGGGGTAAATGTACCTGAGTATTTTCAGTTTCTGCTACATCCTACTTTGACTTCACTACATTTAAGACAAAAATACTCTACTTTGTACTGACCACATTTACCAGATTACTTCAGTTAGTTACTTTTCAGAATGAGGTTTATAAAAAAAAATATAGTATAATAAGATTTATTCATCCTTGGTATAAAATTCACCTAGCAGTAAGTCAAAGTATAAGCTTATAAGGTGGTTAAAATTAGCTCTACCTTTATCAGCTGCAACATTAAATGTGATGTACACAGCAATACATCAATAATAATCAAATAATATGATGTACATCAATGTAAACTAATGATTACTTTTACTTTTGATATTTTAAGTATAGTTTATGTTAATAATTTTGTACATTTGAATGCAAGACTTGTAACAGATTTTACACTCTTTTATTTTTGCACTCTTGGCATTGCTACTTTTACAATCTGAGTACTTCTTCCACCACTGCCTTTAATCCACCTGTGTTTACCATTATCAGTCATGTGTATTATAGTGGTGTCCTGGCCTAAAAGCATGCTGTGCTTTTGTATTCTTTTTTTCCCCTAAAATTATTGAAAATTTAACTTAAAATAACCTCCTCGTATCTCAGACAACAACTATTACAAAATGAATGTCTGCAATTAGAGAAGTAAATTGTGCCTTTCTCATCTTTTGTAAAGGGCTGATTCAGCAGTATATGTGGAAAACTTGCTGATTACTGATCTAAGAAGGTGCATTTCAGTTATAAATAATTTCTTAACTGCTTTGTATAAAGCTTCCATAACAGTCTGCAGAGGAAGTGAAGGTACCTCTGGACACACTTGGCTTGACACAATGCTGTGAAATAGGGCAATACAAAAATGCCTCAGTTTGCATTTTGATGGTTAAACAGGTTCACTTTGAGTACTTGATCATGAAATGTTAAAATCTACAGACCTTTATCTTGTTATGCTCATTCTTCTACTCTGACATGAATCTATTCTGTTTCCTCTAATCATACTGACAAAATTTTAAAATCCAACACTAACAGCTTTCCTGCTCTATTTACATGATTGAGGGAGATATAGAGAAGCTATTGTAAATTATATACAGTGGGTACGAAAAGTATTCAG